TCAAAATTTAGATAAAATTTAAAATTTAGACAAAATTTAAATATCTGGCATGTGTTTTAATAGGTGACAAAAAAGTGTCACTGAAATCCGAAGTAGCATTTGAATATTGTAAGATACCTTCCACAATTTAATCAAAGTAACAGGGAAATATCATTAGAAACGAAGAAAAGCGTACCGAAATGCTGCATATTATCAATGCTCCTATATGCCAATAAATACTGAATAATTTCCTTACAGATTAAGCGAAGTCTTGAGGTTGCAGAAAGATAGTGAGAGTAACATGGTCAGAACATAAGAGTAACGAGGAAGTTTTAAGAAAAATGGAATCAGAAGGACACTTTTACTTCGAACCTCAAAGATACAGTTAATGTTTCCGGGACACATAATGAGGAATGAGGGCCTCGAAGAATTTGACATTCACAAGAAATTCAACTGAAAGGAGGGAAACAGCAATAAGCTATATAATGAATTTGTGTAAATCGATAGCAAAGGAAGGGTTGGGAGTTATAGTAAGCAGACAAATATTAATTAGGACTATAAATGCTGTGGAGAGTAATAATTCTCCACATCCTGAAGGGATATGATATATAAAAAAGACAATTTCGCTATCATCAAAAATGGGAACACTGTATATATAAGAAAAAATCTGTTTAGTACGTCTTCATATATTACGGAATCTCTATCATGAATTGTGTTTGAAAATTTGCCATAACAATAATTGTAATGTTTACGGCTTGTGCACTGATAATGTTATTTCATAATGAAATATAACGTGATTTCATAACGTTATTCATAATATTATTGATAATGATGCCAAAATATAGAGCAACTGATTAAAGTGCCAAACTAAAGCAAGATATGAATTTCGTTTACCTAAATTCATGTAAATAACCGATACTGATTGCTATAAATATTGGTTGATATCCACGTCGAAAATATTTTTATCTTGGAATTTACTATGATTATTCTGGAAAAAAATGTCCTGTCATGTGTAGATATGAAATTTCTGACATAGAGTTTGCCAAAAGTATCGTCCAAACAAATATTATTTGGATGGATATCAATGGATATCAATGTGAAGGGAGAGATATTTCTATATTGATTTCTTAGCTCTTTTAGAATTGACATCAGTTTTTCTCCTGACAAGCAACGGGACTGTGGAGGTGTGGGTCTTCCGTGTGCTTAGTAACAAAATACAGGAAATTTTCTATTTTCATCTATTAGTATATGGGGTGTATCTGCCACACAGAGTTTACTGACTATTCTGTGTTAGGTAGAATAACGCGTTCTAGCCTTCCAGTAGCACACCGATACTAATATTAGCATTAGCGTAGCCATTGATACACTAACACTGAGTGCGAATATGAAAAGACGAAATACGCGAGCGTAACCAACAAAACATTTAATATGGCAAGCAGCCTTCGTACATATATACACAAGATTTATACATGTCCCAAAACAAATAATTGTCCATATTGTCCCAAAGGAACGAGGAGGTTAAACAGAATTAGAACAAAGAAATAACTTACCAATTTCATGGCCTTTGGTCGTCCCCAGATAAGTGAATGATTTTGTTTCGCTAGGCCGTACTCATGTTGACCAGTTTCCACGTGTGTGTACACCCTGGTGGTCAGGAAGGTAAAGAGATCGTTCCTTCTAGAACGGAAGTAAAGACAAAAAAGGGAGAAGAGTTCTACCCACTAAAATGGGCCACATAGGCTAAAGCAAAGGGGAAAACAACTGTGGTCTCCCTACAAGTACCCCCTCCCTAGACAGGTTCATTAACCTGCACTAGAGATACAACTAAAATGTAACAAAAACAAAACTTCACAACATGTATTACAAATTTAAAGAAACATAATGAAAAAGGAAGATTTCAATGTGGGGGGAAGAATATCCTCCAGTTATAGTTCTGCTGAACCCAAAACCTGAAAATGACTTATGTCAATAAATGTTTAGGCCATCTAACAAGACGGCCAGATCTGGTCACAGTCTCTTTCACTACCCCCGGTGCTACTGGTGATGGAGTAGTCACTGAAATGTCCATGTTGAGCCAGGTAGTGTCCAAAAAGGCAGGCTTTAATCTGTCAACATTAATGCTTTGTGTTGCATTGTTAATGCTCACCATACAATACTTCGAATGTCTCTCTAGGACTTTGAAGGGTCCTCTGTCGGCTGGCTGCAATGTGTGCGACTTAGCCAAGTTCCGCACAAAAACATGTGTGCATGTCTGCAGTAGTTTAGGTACATATATCTGCCTTTGAACCTGCGCAGAAGACTTATATGCCAAATTCGCCATGCTCGCGGTAAGCCGATCAACGAACGAGGTCAAGTTCAAAACTTTTTGTGGAGGTTGCAGTAAAAACTGTCCTGGGAGTCTGAGTGTAGTGCCATAAACTATCTCAGCAGATGAACACTTAAGATCGTCTTTAACCGCAGTGCGGAGTCCCAGAAGAACCAACGGTAGATGCTCCAGCCAATTTGCCTGATCCGTCACGGCCCTTAAAGCTGATTTAAGTGTACGATGAAACCGTTCCACTAAGCCATTAGCCTCGGGATGATAAGAGGTGGTTTTGACTCTTTTACTCCCAAGATCCTCATCAGTTGGTTGAACAGGTCTGACTCGAATTGCCGCCCTCTGTCTGTAGTAATTAAAACAGGGACCCCAAAACGGGAAACCCATCCTGAAACAAAAGTCTTTGCAGTGGAATGTGCCGTAATGTACGACATGGGAAGAGCCAACGGGAGAAACGATCAATGCATGTCAATAGATATGTCTTTCCCTCACATGAAGGGAGTGGTCCTGTGATGTCCACGTGAACATGTGCAAACCGCTCGTCGGGTGACGGAAAGGATCCAGGAGGTGAACGGGTATGTCTCCCCACTTTGGTCCTCTGACACGGCACACATGTCTTTGACCATTGCCGAATGTCAGTTTTCATGCGTGGCCAAACAAATCTGTCTGTGATCAGCCGTATTGAGGCATTAGCTCCTGGGTGGGACAAATTGTGCATGGAGGAGAATAACGTCTTCCGCATTGACTCAGGCACGAAGGGGCGCAATCGTCCGGTGCTGGTGTCACATACAACTTCCAATTCTGTGTTTGGAACATGTATTTTCGACAACGTCAAGGATGTGTGGTTCTCTCGTAGCAGATGCTGTAGCTGCTGATCTTTTTCCTGTGCTTTCACAAATGATTGGTGTTCCAAGCACGAGTCCAGCACAAAAGCATTTATGCCACGAGACATAGTGTCTGCAGGTATGTTGTCCGTTCCCTTGACGAAACGGATATCTGAAGTGAATTGTAACAGATAATCCAAGTGTCTGGTTTCACGTGGGGAATACTTGTTAGAGTTTGACTGAAAAGCTCCCAACAAGGGCTTGTGGTTTGTCAGTAAGTAGAAAGTCCGCACTTCCAACAAATGTCGAAAGTAACGGACAGTTGAATAAGCTGCGAGAAGTTCACGTCCAAATGTGCTGTACCTGAATTCCGTAGAAGTTAGTTTCTTGGAAAAGAAGGAAATTGGTTTCCAGCTGTCATCGATCTTCTGTTGTAGTACTGCTCCCACACCAATCGAAGAGGCGTCAACTGCCAAACACAACTCGCTACCTGGGACAACATGTGACAATTCAACTGCTCGGGACAATAAAACCTTAATTTGATGGAAGGCTGCCAATGCTTCATCAGACAAAACTATGTCACAATTTTTGACATCAGTTAGAATATCTGTCAAAGGTTTTATAACCTGCGCACAATTTGGCAAGAACCTTCGAAAAAAATTTACCATCCCTAAAAACTGTCGCAACTTTCTCATGGTATCTGGCAAGGGAAAGTCAGAAATGGCCGCCACTTTAGATGGAGAAGGTGAAATTCCAGCTGAATTAATGCGGTGACCTAGAAAAATAACTTCAGACTTTCTAAACTCACACTTTACTGGGTTGATAACAACCCCAAATTTCTCAAAACGCTCGAAAACGATCTGTAAATGTTTAATATGTTCTTCCATGGAAGAACTGGCTATAAGTACATCATCCACATAGGCACAGACAAAATGCAGACCGTGCAATACATAGTCAATAAATCTCTGAAAAGACTGTGCTGCCTTTCTTAGTCCAAATGGCACACGCAGAAACTCAAACAACCCAAATGGTGTTGTTATGGCAGTCTTTGAAATGTGTTCGGGTTCTACCGGAATTTGATGGTAGGCCCTGATAAGGTCTAATTTAGTAAATATGCACCTATCCTGAATGATGGCCGTTACATCATGTATATGTGGAATGGGATAACGGTCCGGTTTAGTGGCAAAGTTGAGTGCCCTATAATCACCACAAGCGCGCCAGGTACCACCACTTTTGGGTACCAGGTGCAAAGGAGATGCCCAGTTACTCTTTGATGGCCGGATAATACCAAGTTCCATCATTTGGGTAAATTCCGCTTTCGCCACACTCAATTTTTCCGGTGCCAGACGACGAGGACGACTGTGAACCGGAGGACCGCTAGTAGCAATGTGGTGTGTTATATTGTGGGGCAACCTATCTTTGTGAAAAGTTGGTTTGGTAATGCTCTCAAACTTTTTTAGGAGTTCACAGAACATAGGATTATCATCTGTGTTAGCCACAGTAGGACATAATGGAATTACATTATGAATGGCTCCCGGCGAATGAGTATTTGTCTTAGGGTGTGTCAGACAATGTCTGTGAACATCAATGAGAAGACCAAATTTGTGTAAAAAATCTGCACTCAATATGGCCTTCTCTACATCCGCAAGGACAAAGAAATGTAAGGCACCTCTCACCATAAGTCTGGATGAGCGACTTATTCACGGCCTGCAAGGTAATTTTGTGAGGGCCTTTTAACTTGTCTGCCTTAGTGGCAGGAATTAAAGATATTTGAGCACCACTGTCCACGAGAAAACTATTACCAGTAGTGCGGTCCGAAACAAATAGTAAGGGACAAACCTCTCCCACGCCGGCGCACCGGGTCGCCACCGGTCGCCAGCCTAGGTTTTTCCCTGTTGCGAATTGAAGGAACAAGGGGGCTTGCAATAATTAGCCCTATCCCCGAATTTCCTGTGTAAGTAGCACATTGGCTCCTTGCTAACAGTTCTTACACGACCTCTACTTTGGGAGCGGAGAATGCTAACCTTCTGCAACCGTCTCTCTAAGTCTTCCATCATAGCCTCTAACCTTCGTTGTCTCTCCAAAAGTTTAGCCAGCGGATCTGGCTCTTGCGTCTGTACGGCAGAAACGGGAGCAGTGCATCCCGAAGTTAGGTCAGCTACATTATCTGCTATTTCAGCCAGCTTTTCGACGGGTGCATCTTCACCCACCGCGGCTAAAACAGCGTGATACGCAGAGGGCAAACGCTGGAGAAAAATATGACGTATAATGCCATCCTCATTACTTTCTCCGACTAGATGCTGCAAACGACGTAAAAATTGCGACGGCTTGCCAATTGCCCCTTATGCAAAAGCTGCGACAATTTCTTTTGCCGTGACATAGACGTCCTCCGAACAAGTTCCTCTTTTAACTTGTAATATGGCTTATCTTTCAGCGGAGAGATGATAATTTCTCCCACCTCCTGGACAGCTTCGAGAGGCAACTTGGAGACCGCTAAATTAAATTTTGTTTTCTGGGAGGTAATTCCTCTCAGTTCGCACTCCGACTCTAACTGTGCGAAAAATAAAGCTGGGTCCGCTTTAAAGTAGGCTAGGCTGACAGTGTTCACCGCCGACACAGCGGCCGTTTTTTCCTCATCCATATCGTATATTCTTTATGGGGATAGTTACCACACAGGAATATGCCTCACAATGCGAAGTACTACAGAGAAAGAAAAAAAAACACAAACAAACGAACCTAAATATTTTAAACAAAAAGTCAGAAATGGCTATCACTGCTATTACCACTAATGGGTATTGTGAACTCTAGCAGTAAACTACTGACCAGTGTGCCTCCAAGGGTGAGGCAGTCTAATGTTGCAGGCCGACGCCAAATTCAAATACAGGATGGGAAAGAAACACCCGAGGGAAAGGGAAGCTATGTTGCCATGTTATACAAGTCGTCATTCCATTCGAATTATTTGTGTCGAAAGAAAAAAACACTCTCTAACACATGAAGTTAACATTAACAGTTATTTTGCAAATTGCAAAAATATACTGCCACGTTGGAGTCACCACTTATTAGTATATGGGGTGTATCTGCCACACAGAGTTTACTGACTATTCTGTGTTAGGTAGAATAACGCGTTCTAGCCTTCCAGTAGCACACCGATACTAATATTAGCATTAGCGTAGCCATTGATACACTAACACTGCGTGCGAATATGAAAAGACGAAATACGTGAGTGTAACCAACAAAACATTTAATATGGCAAGCAGCCTTCGTACATATATACACAAGATTTATACATGTCTCAAAACAAATAATTGTCCATATTGTCCCAAAGGAACGAGGAGGTTAAACAGAATTAGAACAAAGAAATAACTTACCAATTTCATGGCCTTTGGTCGTCCCCAGATAAGTGAATGATTTTGTTTCGCTAGGCCGTACTCATGTTGACCAGTTTCCACGTGTGTGTACACCCTGGTGGTCAGGAAGGTAACGAGATCGTTCCTTCTAGAACGGAAGTAAAGACAAAAAAGGGAGAAGAGTTCTACTCACTAAAAGGGGCCACAACTCTCATGGGCTAAAGCAAAGGGGAAAACAACTGTGGTCTTCCTACACATCATTAACCTTATTGAGCAACACATTGAATAACTTAAACGTTTGGTTTATTCAATGAGTGAGTGAAAAAGGCATCTGTGTATGAATCTTCAGGTTTATAAGTCCCAGAAATTTATACACAGATGTCCTCAATGACACATGGCCCAGGGGATAAAGGCGTTGGTTACATCCAGTGACTAGACCCAAAGAGTTGTGAGTTCAATACCAAAAAGTTAAAGGGAAATAACTGAGACCTCAGAAAGAGGCATAATGCGTGGAACTAGAACAATCTACGAAATAAACGGTTCAGTTCAAAATTCCAATCACCTGAAGACGACCAGAGCATACAATGGCCGAAACGTTGTGAATATGGCAATGACGATGGGGTTAACTGTTCGAATAACGTAAATTTAGCGTTTATGTTTTAATTAGTTTCAGATCATTAACTGGATCACTTCAACGGAAAATTCCTGTTGCTGAAGTGTCTTTTTCTGCAGGGGAAAATTCCATGAATGTATGATACAAACATTAGATGGTAAATGTTTGTCTTATTCAACTATGAAAAAGTGGTGTATCAAAATCCAGTGTGGAAATTTTGAAATGTAAAATACAGCAGAATCTGGAAAGTTTTCAACAGTGTCTACTCCTGAAATTGCTGATCATATTCATAACCTAATTTGAGCCGATCGACGGTTCTCGACTAAAATAATTGCTGAGACACAAGAGATATTCAGGGAATGTGTTGGTCTTATGATTCATGAGTGATTGCAGATGCAGCTGTCTGCCAAGTTGGTGCCAAAGCGTTTGAATGTTGCCCAGAAACGATATTGAGTAAAGACCTTTAAGTTGATTTTGCAGGAATTGATTGATACTTTTTAGAACGGCTTGTCACTGTTGATGAAACGTGATTACATCACTGTGATCCGGAAAATAAATAACAGTTCGTGCAGTGGAGTCGCTCCGATTCTCAAATGCCCAAGCACACAAAAGGTAGCAAGAAAGTTCATGGAATTGGGGGAAAAGGAAAATATTTTGATGACTATTTTCTAGGAGTCAAATACTTAATGTAGAATAAAGGGAGAAAGTTTTCGAATGATTCGGACGTGATAGGAAACCCCAAAGCTAGTATTTCAATGATGAAGCATCAGCTCATTTCGATTGTTCCACAGTATTTTGTGTTTCAGCTTGTTGTAAAACATCCACATGTCATCACTCGTCACAGATTGTTCTAAAATATTTTTCTAAATTTGTTTTGTTGTTCTCTCTTAAGCTACACTTCAAAGAGACTAACATAACCAAGCTGCTGCGAATGCTTTTCAATCTGTCATTTGGCTATTTTAAATATGTTGACCGTCTTATGCGTTGATTATTTACAAGTAACCACAACTTGTCTCATCAGCTAACGTTCATAGATAAATCTCCAGCAAGAAATATTACAAACCACTAGTGACACGTTCGATTATCAACAGGACTTCTTCACAAAATATACAAATGTTTTATCTGAATTACATTTTTATCTTTTATCTTTTTTTTTCATTTTCATTGTTTAAATAACTGAATAGAAATATAGCCGTTTTGATAATTTTGTTTTATGAATACACACTAATATGGGAGCCTTTTTAAAAAAATGATATTTTTAATTATATTATTTTAAGCTACACGCCATCGAACGATAAACGTAAAGAAGCGCAAACATTTTTCATAAACTCAATAAAAGTTTTTAGTAGACTTTTGCTGAATCCAGTAATTGTAGACATTTTAGTCAATTCTGTAATATTCACCCAAACTCTTTAGTCCACACATTAATAGTACTTTAAAATTTTCGGTCAAGTCTGTATAAGTCTTTTACACTTTTTGACTAACCAGATATAATCTTTTAAATCAACTTATTAATGTTTTTTTTGTTTCTTTTTACATGTATGATCCCCTCGTTATTGTTCCTTCGTCCTAAGGAAAGACGGTTTGAAAAATTTGATACTCACAGGACAGATCGAGAGCAGGATAGACAGAGGAAAATGACGCATAACCTATCTAGCGAAATGGATGGCGGAACAAGTTAGGAGACAAAAATTATTAAGAGCTACAAAGGACAGGAAATTATGGAGAATCACAAAGGAACAAGGACACATAGTAGTAGTAATAGTAGTAGTAGCATTAGTAGTAAAAGAAGAAGAAGAAATATCTTCGTTAATCATATTATTCATACTTTTTTGTTTGAAACTGAATATTTTAGCAAAAGGGACAGATTATATTAAATCATACGTTCTGTACAAAAAACGCTAAAGAAAAAAATAAACAACCTTCAACAAGTTTATTTTATAAACCGCATAATTTTGTAGGTTTTTTATTTGCTGACGAATGTATAAAACCTATCATAGCAGATATGAACTATCAGCTTGTTTTGATATACGGAATATGAATTAATGTATACGGTGTAAATTTTGCAATGCAATATTTTAAACGGTTTGTATTAGCGATGCATTTCATAAATAAGTCATACTGGACATTTAAATGATATGCAAAAATGAATTTTCAATTAAAAAAAAACAAGTGTAGAATTCATCTTTACCACTTCAAAATTTATTTTAAATATTACAAACATTTTTTTCAATTTTTGACTAATTTTCTTAGAATTTAAATCAGGAAATAGCAAAAAAGTTTTATAACGAGGAACAGCTTTACGATTACCTCTGCTTAAAAGGCTTCAAATAATGTGTGAAAATCCCCGATGTAACAAGCAATTAAGTGAATATTTTGACATCAATGACATTGTTGAAAATTATTTCTGCTATCAAATGCATTTATATTATAAAGGTCATTATTGCTATCGAGTGAGTCAATATTTTAAGGATTATTAATCGAATTATTTAATACTAATATCAATAATGCTATATCTTCTGGATGCAACGATTCCAAGTATTCACTTTAAAATATCTGCATTGAACAAGTCTAAAATTTAATCAATATGGTTAAAATTGGGTTTTCTATAACGGATTCGTAGCCTTTGGTCGTTAAGAGATAAAGAAACTGAACAGAAAATAGCCTTGCTCTCGGGAACATTTCTTACAACACCGCAAGGTGCTACATAACGTAAGCAATAACTTAGAAACTCGAGTGATGTTCTTAAATAGTTAAAAATTACTTATCATTCTTCTTCGAACTTCGTGGACTGGTGCTAGAGTATCATAAACAAAAAACTTTGCTAGATAACAGAAACCACATCACTTAAGGATTTTCAACAACAACAACAACTAAAATGGATAGTAAATATAATTTTAAGAAGAAATATGGACATAATCATGATGTTGATATTCCACACTGCATTGAACAAAAGGTTAGGAAGGAAAAACGTCCGCCAATACTGGAAAGAACAATAACAGTGGATTTGTTAAACTTATTTTCCTGGGAAAATGTTTTAATAGAAATATTTTATTAATTTCAACCGACAGCGGCACTAGCTACTCGGTTAATAAATGCTGAATATTTCCTTATAAGGAAACGGCTAATATTACCATTACCATTAGAGGAGAACAGATACTACATTTTGATCCCAACCGGATAGAAAAAAAAGAAAAGCGTAACTCGAGTAGCACTGGCTTCTCGTTTAATGAAGGTCGACTGTTTCCTTATAAGGAAACGGCTAACCATTATAAAGCTTAGAACTATGTCAAGAATATGAGGCAATCAGTGAGGATCGAACTCACTAATCAGTAGTAATGCTTAAACAGATTATATAACTATTACCGCAGGCCAAGGAGATCAAATTATATTTACTAAGCTTAGCGGAAAGCCATAAATTTGGAGAACCCGATGACGATTGATACTACTATTCATTCGCAATTTTCATAATAATAACTCACTATATAATAATAATAATAACTCTCTATGTAATAATACTAACTCGTTATATAATAATGATAATAATAATAGTAATAATAATAATAATAATAATTCCTAATAATAATAATAATGCTTCCCTAAATAATAATAATACAAATAAGTTGCTATATAATAATAATAACTCTGTATGTAATAATAATAATGACTCGCTATATAATA